GACGAATGATATGATTCTGCTTTTTTGCTACGTACTATTCAGAAACTTCGAGTATTTATTATTTTAGATTTTTAGGATATGATATATGCAATGAGAGGAGTGTGTGCATTGAATTAAAAAAAGCTTAAATGAGTGATTTAAATTAAGCTAACAACCTAAAAATTGGGAACAAATAAGGAGTGTTTTTTAAATCTCTTTTTCTAGAATATTTTTTACCAAACACTGTCAAATTTTTCTTTTTCAAAAATATTTTTTTCTCAAACACTATTAACTTTTACAATTAAACATTTTCTATAAAATTATTTTAAAAAATCATTTAAAAAATAGAAACAATCGCAAATACTTCCATAATTGGGAGGGTTAAGGGTTGGAAAAGGAAGGATGTGAATAAATGAAAATGCGTTACATAGCAAGTTTGAGATAGATTCTAATTTCGTTCCATTTTCTGATCTTACCTCCTTCCTCTTCTGAATTTGTTGTTTTTCGAAATAGAATAAAAATCCAATGAAACACTCCCTTAAATGGCCAAAGTTTGTGAGGCACACAAGACCCTTAAAATCAATTCGTTGTCTGACTGTCTTCCATGATTCTAGAAGCGTTGCAAATGAACAACTCTATTGAACACTAAATAGATTTTTCCAACGAATTGGAACAAATAATAGAACAAGAGTAGTTTTTCGGAAGCTTGATGGAATTTTGTTCTTTGAACAGTTTAGTGTAGCAGTAGCTGTGTATGGCTCGTTGTGAGAAGTGTGCTCAGTACGTTCAACGTTTAGTGCACCGTAGTTTCCACAAATCTGGCAGGCATATATGGGGAGAAGGAACCTAATTAAGTATTAAACATACATTAAACACGTCATTAACGGTTTAGAACGTTACATGCCATTAACCAAGAGATTAAACATATATTAATGTTTTAGAACATCAACCAACGTTTGAAACAATGGCAATTCTTTAAGAGAAATTAAAACGTGAAACATTTTAATGACTAAACTTCAAGAATCAATTTTTCATTCACGCGTTATCCGTTTTGAGTGTACCATATATCAAATTGAACCTCTCTTAACAAGGGGAACCTGGATCCACTTTGATCCGACTCAAATCTGAAGTGAACTTCACTCAAAATTCTGCCCGAAAGTGATCATTTAATGCAAATTTAATACAAATTTTCCAACACTTCCTACTCATTTATTTATTTATAGAAATATGTACTTTATATTTGATTTTTTTACTTCAAACATATTAACAAAGGTGATTGATTTGAAAATTTATAAGTTTACCACTAAAATCATGTCTTTTGTCAATTTATTGGTAAAAGTGATCTTGAGAGAATGGTACATGCATTTTTTTAACAAAGAAGGTTTATATTAGAATATTGAAAACTCGCAGAGTAGCAGGAAGACAATTTCTCCCATTTCGATCACATGTCCTAGGATTAGACGTAGAACTATATTTGTCACAAGCACAACAATTCCCTAACCGGGCAACTTGAAGCCTATTGCGACCAAAACTGAAAGATTGCCCCATAGAACACCCACAAAACGGATTTTCCAGCTAAAAGTCCAAAAGAAACAAAACCTAGAGTCGTGACTAACAATTCCAAAACCAACAAAACCCAAAGCAAAATAACTAGTCTGAAAATAAAGCTGAATGTAGAAAAAATAAACTTGAGAACTTGAGCCATCCCTCTTCAATTTACTAGGCGAGCCTGTTGTCCAGAGCTCACCCTCTCTCCGCTTTTTCCATCATTGTTTCCAACCTCCATCATTGTATATGCCTCTCCTGACAGCTCCAATCTACGCCGCTTCTGCTTAGCTACTTGCACTTCTTTCTCACGATTCACTAGCCTCACCTGCAAAACAACGGTACTCGACCCATGGCAACGATCTCCCTTCCCTGAGTAAATCCCTCAACACCCCCATTATTATCAATCCCCTGTTTCTTGAGATTCTCCACCATTGGCCATTTATTTCCTCCACTTTTATTGCTGAAATCGCTACCTGCCCGCAACCTCTATCCAAAGTCCTTCAATTGTGATGAACTTGGAATACTCAGAATCTGACAACAAAACTTATCCTCATGGCTAAGCAAAGCAAAAGTTGGAGAATTTTTCATATTTCAAGTTTAACCATAGGCAATCCCCATTTGATTTTTGAACGCTCAAATGTTTCCTCAGATGAAGCGGTTACCTCACATCAAGACAAACCCTGATCCTCAGATGAGCCCTTCATTTCCCCTCAAACGGATGATCATCAAGTTTAACAAAACTTCCAAGTTTATTACGATAAAATTTTAGCAACCCTTAAAGTCAAGTGCCCAACTTTCAATAAGTTTCTAAAAATATAATTTAAAGCAAGTAAACATTAAAGAAAGTACATTTTCACCATATTTATGCTAGTATAAATGGAATGTAATGTAACACCCCACCTCTTAGGGAAACTTCCCAGAGAGTCACTCATCTTAAGACTACTTCCGTACAAGCACGCTTAACTTGAAGCTTTTAGCTAATGAGCTTACTTAAAATAAGATGCACCTTGTAGGTATGAATAGTATTATTAATCCCTTTAAATTAATCTCAAATATTACATATGAACTCTTACTTTAATGTTATTTAGAAAGGTATGGCCTACTAGAATTCAATTCTTTTTTACGTAGCATTACTTTGCTTATAGTGTATTATTTTGAACTTGTAAATCAATACTTCTGTATTGGGACTTAATTGCAATTAATGAGTATTTTATTTAATAATTGTAGTTAATATCAATTAATTAATAATTCAACTTCAATTAGAATGTTGTGTATTGTTATTAAGTAGATGTGTGTACTATGAGATTTTGGTATATGTCTCCCCATCTTGTATTCTTATGTTTTCACTCATAAAATGTGATAAAACTCGATGTTTAGCTCATTGATTTTAATGATTTGCATACCCAGTTTTAAAATGGCATGTATATTCTTGCTACAAAAGGGCCCAATTTGTTTATGCATTTTGGTCATTTTTATTTTATTTCACATTCCCTACTTCTAATTTCTAATACCCCTATCCCTCGTAGGCCAATAAGATGGTGAGACTAGGGTTGGATTCGGTTCGGGCCACCCGGCCCGTGACCCGGTCGGGCGGTCCGGGACCGGGTATGGGCCCGAACCGGGGGGAAGGGGCGGGGCGGGCTCGGTTCAGCATTTTTGTTACCCGGCCCGGCCGGGTCGGGCCCGGGTCCGGGTCGGGCCCGGGTCCGGGTCTATTTTTTAAAAAAAAAAATTTTTGATTTTTGGCTACTAGCCGTTGAGGCCTTGGGGGTGGGGCTGGGGACAACCCAAACGGCTATATAGCCGTTGGGTGGGGTAAAGGGGGGGTCCGGGGGGTGGGGGGTGGGTGGGGGGTGGGGGGTAAAAAAACCTATAAATACTCCTACTCTTAAACATTTTTTCATATCTCTTCTCCAATTCTTCCTAAATTCATTCTTAACTCTCTACTCTCTAATTCTCTTATTCTCCAATATATTATATATCTACTCTCTAATTCTCTTCTCCAAGAAGTTAAGATGGAAAATCAAAATGCCATTATACGGTATAATTTTGATAAGCAGAAGGACCCGAAGACCGGGATGTGGTACGCAATTTGCAAATGGTGCGAAAAAAAATGTATTATGGGGGCTTCAGGCGGATTCGGGAATGCAATCAAGCATATGAAGTCATGTGACAAAGGTCACAAAGCCAAAGGATCGGGAGGTGCGGGATGTTCCGATTGATTACAATTTTCAAAATGTTTCTCTTAAAGTTTGTTTTAATTTTCAAATGTAGTTCCTATTTCATTTCAAATAAATGCAATTGAAGTTTGTTTTTAATACTCTTATAAAACTATAAACTATAAAATATAAAATATAAATTATATAAAAAAAAATTAACCGACCCGGCCCGAACCGGACCCGACCCGTGACCCGGGCGGGTGGCCCGGCCCGAACCGGACCCGTCCAACCCTCGGGCCGGTCCCGGGCCCACTGTTCTTGAACCGGCGGCCCGACCGGGCCTAGGCCCGGCCCGGGCCCGACCCGGCCCGAATCCATCCCTAGGTGAGACTATGGGATTAAAGCACTTCCAAATCTCATCCTCGTTCCCCACTGCAGTCGTTCACTCCATTTCTCCTAAAGAACAAGAACCTTTTGATAAAATATCATCGCGGTCCTTTTTCCCGTCGCAAGTGTCTAAACTATGATTAAACTATCATTGAAGGCAACATAAGAAAGAACAAAATCGTTAAAAATGACATCATACACTTCTGGGTTAAAAAGAGCATAACTCGAACCTTTGCAGCAAAATGCGTCATTGCAGTGACACTGCAAATAAGGGAGATAAAGAATTCCATTTTTAGTCTCACAATTATTGGTTCATTCAAATTTTGGTCTGGGTTTTAACTTTTTTTATCACTTTTGAAACATATGTATGGTATATGAGCACAGAGCACTTGGAAGGACCGAAAATGAGAGCAATCAGCTAACCAAAAGTTCAAGAAAGAATGGCAAGAATAATACTAAATAGCTTTTGTTTGACAAAAATGTGTCTAAAACTCATTCGGACAGAAAAGTCACATTTCTCATCCTCGGCACTTCCGTTCTCGCATCCCCTATTCCCCTGCCATCAAAATATCAAAAGCACAAAATCAGCCCAGCCCTAAATTAGCATCTGGCATTTCATCGCATCCCCAACCATGGAGCTCGTGAGAGTGCGATTGGAGCTCAGGTAGTGCCGCTGCCGCTCACCGTTGTGAGACAGTGAGAGTCATCGACACCAACACACCTCTTCTCCGAGGTCATTGCATCTGTTGTCTCGCCGGCGGCGGTTGCAGAGGTAGCGAAGGGGTACCGGGGAGGCTGGGGAGGGGGTTAAGGCTGGGGCTGGGAGAGTGGGAGGTAGGCAAGGGATTGGGGGCTGGGGAGAAGGGTAGAGGTTGGGGAGGGGTAGGGGCGGGCTAGGGGCTGCGGTATGGTGGTGGGAAGTGGCTGGCCAGAACCTGGTGGAGGTTTGGTACTTTGGTCACTGATGGAGAGGTTGTGGGCTGGTGAGGGTGGCCGCCAGAGAGGGGCAGGTTCCGCTGGTCGGTGACGTGGAGGGGCTGGTCACTTGAGGGCGGCAGCAGATCATCGGTGACGGTGGTCGCCGGAGGTGTCCGGATGTGGGATGGGCCATGACACCGGAGATGGCATGTCACTGTGGGAGGTGGGCGATCAGTCACGGTGGCCGGTGGGCTGGCGGTCACTGTGGGTGGTGGGCGGGCAGTCACTGTGGTCTACTGGTCTGTGGGCAGGCAATCACTTTGACCAATGAGCGAGCAGTACTGTGGCCGGAGTCACTTTGATCGGAATCACTGTGCACCGCAAGGCTTAATTGTGATGTTTGTCACATTTTTGGAAATTTTTAAGAGGTCATTTTTTTTTATCCTTTTTTTAGTAATATCGAGGCAAAAAGGCCAAAGTTCAAATCCATATATTCCATCACCAATGAACGGTATTACGGTATGAAGCTAAGGCAGGTGCAAGCAAATTATAAATGACAAGTCCGTGCACATTGGCATCACATAGAAGCAATCCTTCTCTTGTCACAAGAGACCGCTCCCAAACTATTGATCACACTGCACACAACGAGACTATAACCGATGCGTAATAACAATTAAATTTATTCAAACTATGGTGTTAGTTTATTACAGAGTAGTAATTAATGTGTGTTTTATATTCACGAGGTCATGTATACAATTCTTGTTGGATGTAATATTTTAAAGATTGTATTCGTGTACAACTCATTTAGACCAATAACTTATTGGTCATTATTACATCAATGCATCAAACATTCAGATCTATATCCCAAAGTTTCAGCCATTCACAAGCTTATTACATTAAGAACAATAAAATATAAAAAAGATTACAAAAAACAAGAATGAATTGGGTGTATAATGAGAAAAGTGTACTCTTACTGTAGTATAGGAACTCACCATGCACAACCATCAAGATGATAAAACTCTCTGTGCTCCAAAGGTAACAAGAACTACCATTAGGTTGTACCAAGACATGCTAACAGCAATCTAATTGTACAAATGGTGTCGTTCGTCCTATCCCCAATGTAGTTGGAATGAGGTGGTGGTGACGATAGTCAAGCAAAATCAAAGAAAAACTCTAAGAGGTCTGTGATCTCTTTATTGATGAGACCAATTATCAATAAATAAGACACCTGGACTTACCCCACATCAACAAATAGTGGGATGAGAGGATAAACCTAAATCCCCGCGCTTGGGTTGCCTGCACCAGCTGCCACGACACCCATACCACCACCGACCACTGTTTTTGTGATTGCAACTTGGTCACCATCAAGCTCATTCACAAGTTCATCGATTTTCCGGAACTGGTAAGGCCATTTCACATTGTACAAAAACTGTCGAAGATCAAACCTGTTGTCTTCAGGTGAGTAACTCTGCACAACACACACAAAAAGAGGTTTTAAGCTAGGGGGTGAGGGTAAACCAAAGGGACATGTGTGTGTGTGTGGGCGCGCGTGCGTGCGCTCTGAGCATTTCTTTTGGAACAATTGAACACAAAAAAATGTAAATTTGAAGAAGAAAAAAGTAAATCATACCATCAAAAAACAAGTTAAATAATATATTTACATTCACCTCTTTTCTAATTTAGGAATAAAGCTTGTTTTATTGACATCATATAATTTTAACAAATTTATTTAACTATTTTTAGACAAGGGTATATGTGTTCCATGTTTACACTTTGGTGTTTAATTATTCCATAAAAGAATTATCTACTTCTTTTAGGATCAAGTCTAGGACTCTAGGGTATACTTGTTTCTTGTTTCGAAACTAAATAACGTTCCAAACTGAGCTCTAAAGAAAAAGAAGAGTACCTCGGCATGATATGCAGGTGTTAACACGGTCATCTTGTGTCTGTTAATGGCATAATACTTGAAGAAGTGCTTCACTTTATCGCTCACCTCTTTTGGAGTCAACACCGTACCCCATTTATAGCAGAGGTTCTACAAAGCCAAGTGTCATGTGTAATGCAAATGCAGTTTATATAAGATCAAAAAATACATAATATTTAATATGCTGGGTGGCAAACCTTAAACATCGATACAGGTCCACAACGGTAAATCTTGCGCATTCTTCCATAAATCGAGAGTTCTTCATATGTCATTCCCATGTCCACTTCATCCAGCTGCTTTGCAAAAATAGAGCATGCACATTCATACTTTAGTATAGAAAGAAGTGGATAATGAAAGACGCGTCTGGAACAAAGAGTGAAAGAATACAGGAATGCACAAAAAGTGACACCTGACTATAGTTCGAGCGTATAGGTTCCAATTCAGCAGTGGGAGGAGCTGCTTCAATTTCTGCCAAGGATGAGTAACCAAGATGAATGGCTGCCCATCTCAGAAATGTTCGAAGATCCATCTTGCTAATACTTCCGATTGGATTTACATCAGCTGAACTACAATCATACTGCAACATGCAAATGGTAATAATAAATTGATGATGATGATGATGACGATGATGATGACGATGACGATGGTAGTAAAAATAACAATAACATCATCATTAATAATAATAATAATAACAAATAATAATAATAATAATAATAATAATCACAACAGCAGCAATAGTACTAACAATAATGATACAGGTGTGCAATGAATATTTCCATCCTACATACCCCAAAAAATATGTTGACTGACCTTTGTTAGATAGCCACGCAATGCTTCATCTACATTGGAGCTACCCAATACCAAATAAAATCCCAGTTTATTGTGTACCCATGGCAACAGTGATGCTAGCATGAATGCTAAGACCATTCTGACTCGAGCTTGAATATTTTGCAGGCCCAAGTTTTCAATGCTCGATCCCCCGTCTACCTAGAAGGGAAGAGTCAATAGCTGGTCAATATAGATCTTATCTATGGGCCATCCAAATATGATCATTGTTATGATTTGATGAGTACATTTATATACAACAACAAAAGTGAAATGTCAAATATTATACTCCCTCCATCCCAATTTGTAAGATACTTTACGCTTTACGATGTTTGACTGACGATAAAGCAAATTGATCCCTGTCAACACTCAAATTAGTTTTAGAAAATAAAATTTACATATTCAGAAACTACATTAAAACCGCTACAAAACCTGCAAAAAATAATTCAAATTTCATAAACTTTTGATATATAAAGTAAAAGATTAAGAGTGATTTATGTTGACCAAATGAATAGTAAATGTATCTTACAATTTGGGACTGAGGGAGTACCTTGTATTGTGGACGCTTCCCTGTAAGTGTTTGGAACAAAGAGATCAGAGAAGAAACTACACCATCTATGCTAACATTTAGATGCCATGATCCAATTTCATCTGCCAGAAGCTTTGCCCGCGATGCTGTGGCTTCAGAACTATTTTTAATCATGACATAGTGTCACTAATATGCGGACTGTCTAAAGAATGAACTCTAAATTTTTAATAACAAAAACGAAACATAAGATGGGAGGAACATTGATAGTTTTGCTACAGAAAACATAATTGATCAGGGCCTTTGTTGCTTATACTTTTTTCTGAGATTTTCCTATAGTGGAAAACCAAGTGTAAACTAATTCGCAGTTCAATTGGATTTTGTAAGCAACAGAAAAAGATCAAATGATCATACAAATTTCCCATCTTGTTATATGATAGAAACACATGAGTATAATAATACTAATAATAATAGATATCTAGTAAATAATTGTGATAGTATAAAAATAAGGCTTTTGGGCCAGGTAAGTCATGAGTTGGGCTGGCCCTTTTGTTTTAGTATAAGAAGGGGAGGGAGGAAAAGGGGAAAGGGGCAGAACTTGGGATCAGGACTGGGATATTGGGAGTGAGAGACCACTCGAAGAGTCTCAAGCCTTTCCTTTCGTGACTTTCTGTATTCCTTCACTAAATTTTCATTAATAAACTACTACTTTCTTCTTGGATTCTTCCGTTACTTATCATTCGTATCAAAGCCATCAAAGATCGCTGGAGTAGAGGACTTTTACTCGTGCGCAGATGGAGAATAGCAATGGAAGAGTCGAAAGCCCGTTCACGAAGATGGAAACGATGCTGGACGAGATGATAAATCATCTACGTCAACAACGTCGCAGGCGAGGACGATCGAGAACGGTTAGACGCTGCCAGAATTCCAGAATCGGCTCAGTATCGTCGTTCGTCGTTGCTCCCAGTTCGCAGTCGCTAGCTGATTCTACCGGTTCACAGATGTCTTCTCAAGCCTCTTCAGCTTCATCGCGAACAGTATCTCCCAGTCAACAAGTTTCATCGCAAATAGATCTCCCTTGTTCGCAGGTCTCTTCATCGGCTATCATCTCGTGTCAAAGTGTGACGATATCAGGAGACTCCAAATCGCTGTGAAATCCCTATGCGAACCCTAGTACCACTCTAGACAGAGGAGACACCATCAGTTCACAGACTTCATCCTACGCTAGCAGTTCACTTCAAGGTATGTTACGATTGGAAGGGGAAGCCTCCAGTTCGCCGTTGCTGTGTGTGTCGCAAGAGTTGGGCAATCCACAGAAAACTCTCTCTGAAGGGACTGTCCGCATAGAGGAAACTGAGGAAAGAGAGGAGGAGAATGATGGAAAGAAGCCTCAGGGAATCATCAGCTTCTACACGGATGGGAGAGGAAGCAAGGGTTCTGGACTTGGCTTTGTTAATCAGCTAACGCCAGCACTGGGGTTTCAGCCTATAGGGGAAAGGAAAGAAGAAATATTCTCAGATTTGGGACTTTGGCGGTTAAAGAATCTGAAATCGCATGATAGCATTGTTGTGCACAACTGCTTTCAGCTGTTGAAGTTTTATGAGACAAATCCTGCTATTACAAGTAATTCTGTCATTGATACTAGCTGCCGTACAGAAAAGTGGATGAAAAGTGGATGAAAAATGGAGAACTTTGCATATTCAATGAATTGAATAACTTGAGTAACATCAAATCTGCATCCAGCACATTTATAGTTTCAGAAGTTATAATCCTTGAGGAGTCTCATGAGAACAGGGAAACACTTGTAGCTAGTGAGTGCTTGAAGGCTACTGCAACAAATAAAACTGCACTCGACATATCTTCTGCAGCAGCACCATTTGTGATTTTGAAGGAACAGGTACTAAAGCTTCTGGTTCAGCAAGCAGTGAGGTACTGCGAAGGAAGAGGCACAAGGATGAAGATAAAGCTGAAAGTCCAGGCCGGATCCTATCACACACCTACCCACCTTGAGGACAAGGTGGTTGTCTAAGGGGGGAGATATGATAGAAACCCATGAGTATAATAATACTAATAATAATAGAATTATAGTAAATAATATTGATAGTATAAAAATAAGGCTTTTGGGCCAGGTAAGTCATGAGTTGGGCTGGCCCTTTTGTTTTAGTATAAGAAGGGGAGGGAGGAAAAGGGGAAAGGGGCAGAACTTGGGATCAGGACTGGGATATTGGGAGTGAGAGACCACTCGAAGAGTCTCAAACCTTTCCTTTCGTGACTTTCTGTATTCCTTCACTAAATTTTCATTAATAAACTACTACTTTCTTCTTGGATTCTTCCGTTACTTATCATTGTAAAACTAATTCACAGTTCAATTGGATTTTGTAAGCAACAGAAAAAGATCAAATGATCATACAAATTTCCCATCTTGTTATATTTTGGATAAAGTTAGTTCACTTAGTTGTAAATTTTTTGTCGTAACATTCAGAATTAACTAAACTACCTAGGATGTTTAAAATGCAAGTTTTAAACACATCAAGGTGAGCTCCAAAGGTACCACACTACTATTCTTAAAAACATACCTATTTTCAGACCCCATGAAAACCGTATAAAATATACGCTTAGCGAATTCTTTGCTATCCATTGGGAACTGTCCATCAGTGTACTGGCCAATTCGCATAGCATCAGCCTTGACCTGTTCATCCCCATTTGCAATTTCTGCATCCCACAAGCATTTCTCTTAGTATGCAGTAAAAAAATTATGAAAGCATGATAGGCAATTTCATGATATTGCTTAATCTAGGCAGGTGGCCAAGCTATTGGAGCTTGACTCTTTTAATAAACAAGCACTCATGATATTATTTAGTAGTAAGTTACACATTTTAAATAAAATAAGTGTGAGTAATTGAGTTCAAAGAACCTTTAATTAGGCCACAAAATATTCATGTTTGGGTGAGGCATGAGATTAAAGTACCTTTAACTACAAGCTGGCACATTGAACCAACTATTGCGGCAACAGAAGAACTATCAGCACCACCTGAAAGTGGGAGCAAGAAACCAGATGCACCACTTCTTCTTAAATAATCCCATAACCAGCATGCAGGCCCAAGTGCTATTTCCTCCTCAGGAGAGTGGTACCTAGTCTACAAACATAAAACCAACTTACTAGTGAGGCGTCAATAGACAGTGCTAAAACAAGCCAGGTAAGCAGGTTGTAGCACAAGCTAATCAGCTGAGACAACCACTTGAGTTGTCAGACAAGTATGAAACTTTATAAGGGAAAGAAATGATATAAACTCCTAAAAGGATTTAGGACATAATACCTCAAGAGGACTAGTAAGTGACCTTTGGAGATTGAAGGACTTGCAAAGTTTATATGGAATGACCACTGCGGAAACTTTAGATTTCAAACTAGCTTGCTCTTGGAAACTACTGGTAGATGTCCTAAGACTAGCAACCTAGCATATAAGCAGAAGAAAAAAACTGGTAATCAATTACTTAACAAGTGACAACATGATATAACATATTAATAAACAACGGGATTTTTTCAAAAATATTACTAGAATAAAACTTATTTACACAAATATGACTAATAGTTACTACAATGTAGTGTCATGAACTCATGATAACTTAAGTTTAAAAATTGAACATAAGTTACTATGATTTCATTACTACTCTAATCACTAGTCACATTTTTGTAAACAACTTTCATTTGTCATATATATGTAATTATTTCATAAACAACAGCTAAATATGCATTTCCACTGCAACATATATGTAGAAGCAGACAAATGATGCAATCCACCTGCGACAACAAAAAACAAAATAGATTTTCTTGAATCTAAAAATTGAAATTCAATAAGCAACAAAGGGCAATCTTCTGCAGTGTTTTTCTAAGTTGTACATTGATGATGTGTTTATAGTTACCTATGAGCAAGTATGAGTGTGTGATAATCATATTAACTCTCAGCAACTAAACCAATGAATTTTATGGTCCAACTACAATGTGGAAAACGTGGTTAAGATTCCATGGTGAATAAAGTTCACAGAACCATATCTATTTTAAGGGTTAATTACATGAGACTCCCTCCTTAAGTCCAACTATTGCACCCCTACAATTTTTGTTTCAATTTGCTTTCTCTCCGTCTCTCGTTTATTCCACTATCGCTACTTGAATGCATTGTACAACAATTTTGTCAATTAAGAATTTGCAGTGTACCGCATCTAAATCAATTTCAGCAAACACCATTTCAACATCCTTCAGAGAAAACTGTGATCCTTGAGCTATCATGTCTCCATTCACAACCACACAAGAACATCCATCTGCAGAACAAAAAATAAGCAGCTATTACATTTTTCTAATTCCTTAATTCAACTGTTATGTACAAAATTGCTAGAGTAAGTGAATAATTCTTCAAAATATTTTATTTAATATGTGAAGAGGGTGCACATGGCTACCAAAATAAAGTCGACCACCATCACATCCTTGTTGATTGCTATACATGTAAACCCCTCCACGTGTGTGAGTGGCACTTACAAAAGCTCGCATGCGAAGATCCAGCTTCCTTAACTGATGATGACTTCCACTCGCATTCATAAATACTTCAACTCCATTCAGTGCAAGTTCAGCATGAGGCGGTGAAGGTACAAAAAGTTCCTCACAAACTTCAGCTGCAACAGCTCTGAGGGAAGCATTTAATACATCACATTATAATCTCAAATAGTCAACTCTGCTAATAGAAATAGAAGTATGCATCTCTTAACCAAATGCTTCATGTTGAATTACATTAAAGTCTGATGTTTCTGAATTTGTGCAACACTTAGGTAAATATTACTATACTAGTACACATTGAGGGCATTTAAGCAGGGAAGGGACCCAATAAGTAAAGTTTACTAATACAAAACAAGAACAAAAGCGATATAGATAGATTTGTTTTTGTGTGCAAAGCAAAGCGTTGCTTTATGCAAAAAGTGACAAGGATGGAGCAAAATTAATTTTCATTATCCAACATGAAATTCAACTCTCATAGATCAATTCATAATATGATGAAGTTAGTTGGATGATTTAGCACTAATAAAATAAGACAATTGTCAACTCAATCGTTGTCATAAGATACACAATGCTTTACTCCATTAGAAATATTCTTACATACATTTTCATCATACAAAAATCTCCATAACTTATTTTCTTCATAAATAAGTCTATAAGAAGCTGCAACATTTTCCTTGACAATAATACGATGTTGTCTCCTAAGTCCTAACATAAAAGTTATCCATGTTCTCATCATGGATCTTGAATTCTTGATTTCTTGAATTATCATTACACATTTTCTTCAAGCAATATGAAATACCCCGCCCAGAAAGAAAGAGTCATATTTGGCCGAAGATCAAAGTACAATTTTTTATATAGATAAAGTACTTCTTTTATAAGTCAACAATGTTATTCTTACATTTTTTTATATCTTTTTTAAACAATTCCAAACAACTTTTGGGGGATAAACTCTATTTTGTTGAAACATGACCTTTATTGACAACTATTTAAACATGTTTTCAGACGGGGGAATTACTAATTAGGTACAAATACATACATATGTTACAATATAACAAATACTACTATTGATAACATTACCATTTAATGGAAAAACTATGTAGCACGGAAACTCTAGGGAAAGAGCATGTGGACGTTTCGGAAACTCTACGGAAACTCTTTGGAAACTCTCCAAACAAGCATTTTTTGAGCAAAAGCTGACGTTTCCCGCTTCACGTTTCCTCTTTGATCTTCGCGTTTTCGTGCAACATAGTGGAAAAAGTTTTGGTCACTTCGAGACATCTTAAGAACCTAAACACATTTAGTTAAGCTTTTGTGTAAATATTGACCATATTATAAGTGTATAGAAAAATAAGATGATTATCGAAGGAAAAGTCAAAGAACTGGAAATTTAATGATCAATAATATCAATGTATGGTCCATGCTGAAGATTATGCACACATCTGTATCAAGCAACAGAGAAAGGAACAGAAAAAATGGACTAGAAGAAGGGTCCGGATTCAAGATTAGCTAGAAACAGAGCGGCTAACCATGGCATGTATTTTTAACTGATAGTGCCTGGGTGTAAAGAATAATAATAACTGATTGTGGTAGTTTAAAAATAAGGGTTACGGGCCATGTAAGTCATGGGTTTGGGACGGCCCTTTAGAATAGAAGTAGTATAAGAGTGGGAGAAAGGAAAGAATGAGGGGCAATTCTATTTACAGCCCTTATTTTACTAAACACGCACCCCATGTGTTGTAATAACATTTATGCCCTTAAAACTTAACGCCGTTCGAGTTTAGACGAACACCTGCTCATATCCGCATACTCCATCTAGACCAGCTTTGTCTGAACTTTCCAAAAACAGGGAGAAGTAAAGAAGCATTTCTCTGGCAAGCTAGCAACACGAAAGGGCGCAGCGTGACGAGGCGCGCGGCCGAGTTCATAGATATATCCACGATCAGTAAGGCGGAAAGAGATCGGGTGTGGAAGTCAAGCTAGCAGTGGTAGTCGTCGACCGAGAAAGAGAAGACCGGTTGTTGGACTGAATTGAAAGCTCTCTCGAGAAGACGACTAACAATACTAAGAAGTTCTCTAACAAGCAAGTAAGCCTCTACCTGACTCATTCTATCCCCTTGCCTGGCTCGCCGTTCTGTCTCTCTGTTTTCTTTATTTTACGAAATTGCCTCATAGCTTCTTCCCATTGAACTAGAACATGTAGTTCTTGAATTGATTTGGAATTGAAATAAGTAGGAGTTTATAGTAATTTAGATAAGGGATGGATTGAAGTCAAATAGTCAATCCTTCATCGGAAGTTAAAAAAGAAAATTTCCTGCCCCTTTCTCTTTATAAGCCAATTCAACAGTTGCTTCAAGAACCTTATGGGAAAAAATGACCAGAAAGTTTGCTTATAGCTGTTGCTTCATGAACCTCATTTCATTTTCATTTACCCCAGTGCCGCAAAGGCTCCCACCTATGGTGGGGTAAAGGGGGGTCGGATGTACGCAGTCTTACCCCTGTACTAAAGCACAGAGAGACTGTTTCCGGATGACCCATAGTGAAAATCCCGTCCAAAATTGCATGGACTGTCGGCTGCTTCATAACAAAGAAGCGTAGACAGTTTAGTGAGCCATTTTGCTTTATTCCATCATAATCTCAAGCCAAAAAATAACGAATCTTTGGCTCCATTGCAAATGATGGATATGTTGCTTCATGAACCTAATGGGAAAAAATTTCCAGAAAGTTTTAGCTACGATTTACTTCCCTTTTTGAGTGTTTAATCAGATTGTTTCTTGCAAATGGGAAAAATTTGCCAGAAAGTTTGTTACAGCTGACTGTGGGCATTGTTCCAAGTCAACAAGAACTGCCCTCCCAATTTATTTTGGCAATCTTCAAGGGAGTAAATAGCAGTTCTGATTGCTATTTCCAGTTGATAGTAGTAAATAAAGTGTCTGTAGTAAACTCATGTTTAGAACTCCATGTCTTTGAACTGCCTGATGAGTTCAAAACTAAGTACTCCGTATTTCATATTCTTTTTTTCTTCCAGTATAACTATAGTAGGTTTAAAGAATTATTTTAAGGTATTGATCAATACTTAGCTTCCATCATTTGCAATGGAGCCAAAGATTCATTATTTTTTGGCTTGAGATTATGATGGAATAAAGCAAAATGGCTCACTAACCTGTATGCGCTTCTTTGTTATGAAGCAGCAGTCAGTCCATGCAATTTTGGACAGGATTTTCACTATGGGTCATCCGGAAACAATCTCTCTGTGCTTTAGTACAGGGGTAAGACTGCGTACATCCGACCCCCCCTTACCCCACCGTAGGTGGGAGCCTTTTCGGCACTGGGGTAAATGAAAATGAAATGATTGATCAATACTTAAAAGTTTGTTATTTGTTAAACTACAGCAATTTCAACTCATCAGGTATTGATAGTAGCTCAATTATTATGAGAAAGTTAAGCACTTAGGCACTCAAAGTAAAGTAAGTATTTACTGGAAGAAAGATGTAAGCACTTAGGCAGCCCAAGTAAGCATCAGGTAGAGTAGAAACTTTTTGCCTTATATTTTCTACATGCAATTCACTAGAAGAAAGTTTTAAGCACTAAGGCACTCAAAGTAAGCATAGGATAGAGTAGACAATTTTCATACATATTAGAACCGAACTAAAATTTTAGTTTTTTTTAAAGAAAACAAATAATATGAAATACTTAGTTTTCAATAGTAAATCCCGTATAATATATTATCGTTATTGAGCTACTATCAATACTTTAATTTCTATGTTTTTTGTTTTTTTTTTCTTTAACAAAGTTTGGATATTCTTTGTCTTTTAAGTATTGATCAATACTTAAAAGTTTGTCATCCTTACTTTCTATGTTTTTGTTTTATTTCTTTAACTAAAATTTCAGGAAATGATAAATTTGAGCTAGTATTATTATTTTCTTATATGAGATCTGAACATGCATATAATCATTTGTAAATTTGTTGACCCAGTAATCACACCTTCAACAAATTGATGGTTCTAAACAGTAATTTCCCTTAAAAGAAAAAAAAAACAACTTCCTGGGCAATGATTTGAGAAGTGTTTCTTATTCTCATATTCCTTTTTTATTCTTTTACAAACAAGTGTACAAAATGACAAGCCATTTAAAGATGCAGTAACATTCCTTCGTTGAGTGCAAAATAGGAGTGCACATAGCTGGAAATAGTGTAAGATGAAAACTTAAAAAGAAACTTGCAGAACTTAGTGCCAATGTGTTTCATATTTGTAAGCCTTAGGCCACATTGGAATTTCATGCAGCTAACTACTGCATAAGAATACATACAGACTCAGCTAATAGTTAATAGTCATTTTTTATCTATAATCCATGTCAACTAATCCCCATGGGCATGTACATACTGCATACAAATATGCTCCTTAAGGTGCCTCTACGCACCTATTTCTCAGGCTGTTTTGTGCAACTCTTCTTTGCAAAAAAATTGGTGCTAGACTTACTCGTCACTTGATATGCATCATATATTCCCTCTGTCCTCAAATCAGAGATGTACACTTTTGGTTCCTCAAGTAAATGCTTAAATTAGTTCATTAGTTATAGGCCCACAGATGACTACAAAGTAAATTTGCATTTAAACATAAATTACTTCATAATTTAGTAGCAGGAAGGGTAGTTTAGATATTTGATTTATTTTTAATTATTCCTATTTAATTTAGTGGTTGTATTTAGTAAAAAAGGGGCTGTGAATAGACACTCTCTAAATTGTCTCGTTATCGATTTCTAAATTAGGTTAGGCCTTGGACTTGGGAGAGAGACACTCTCTAAATTGTCTCGTTATCAATTTCTACTGTTCATCTTCGATTTCTTCAGCGATCTACTGTAATCTCCTCTACTGTAATCTCCCAGGAGGATTCTGGATACTTATCTGAATTCAGAGAATTAATATACACATATTTCTTCTAATCTGCTCTGAAATCGCTGGTTCCTAACATTGGTATCAGAGCACCGATTCTGGAGAGAAAAAAATGGAGAGTGGAATCAACAAATGGGAGAGAGACATGCAAGAAATGATTAACGATCTGCGAACTACTCCCTCCATCCCCCTGTTATTGTCCCATTTCTTATTCACTTGGTCAACACAAATCACTCTTAATCTCTTACTTTATGTATCAAATTTTTATCAAATTTGATTCTGGTTTTTGCGACTTTGTAAATCTTTTAATGTAGTTTCTGAATATGTAATTTTTTTTTCTAAAAATAATTTGAGTGCGGACAGGGATCTATTTGCTTTATCGTCAGTCAAGCATCGTAAACCGCAATGGGACAATAACAGGGGGACGGAGGGAGTATCATCAAACAGCGGAGTCGCAGGCGACCTAGAGGCCGAGCGAGAAGCCCTCCTAGACGTCGTTGGCCAACCGGAAAACAATGCTCGTCATTTGCCGCTGTTTCCAGTTCGCAGGCGCGCAATTCGTCTCACAATCGGATGGATGAGCTGCGGAATTTGGTAGCAAACCAGAAGCAGGACCGATCACGAACTTCTAGATGGTGCCAAGGCTCAACGTGTTCAACGTCAGCCACTCCTCACCAGCCCTCTTCATCGCCAACAGTTTATCTCAGTTCGCAGCGGTCGTCAACAGCTCTTCCCTGTTCGCAAGCGTCGCAGCGAGCAGATGTCACAGTTCACCGGCCCCACCGCCTACAGCTTCTCATAGGTCGCAGAGTTCGACGCTCATATATCATTCCAGTTCGTAGGGGCTTCTGCATGCAACTTCTCCTAATTCTTCAGATTTGTGGCAAACAGAAGTCTCCAGGTCGCAGTCGTTAACAACTCCTCACAATTCGTCGTCACAAGCCAAGTCTCTGAGTTCGCAGGTTTCCTCACTCGCTGGATCTCACAGCTCATCTTTGCTTGTCGTTTCTCACCTTGCGCCAGATTCATCCGCTTCCAGAACCATCGACTTAGTCGCATCAGGAAAGGGACTGCAAGGGACTCAACTAACCACAATGAACACAGAATTGAAAACATCTGCACCTTCAGTCCTGGAGCCAGAGCCGGAAGAGGGTACGTTGCAACCTACTAGAACTCTACCTGATAGTCCGGAAGATCCTTGGACAACAAAGATGTACAACAGTGATTACAGTCCTGGCTTATGGATGGCTAAGCCAGTTTTATCCCCGGGCTTGCTTCTCTTGTCTGGCATAGATTCTGATAATGAAGGTCTGTTGTACCAAAGTGTTTATTGTGTCGGTGAAGCTCCAATGAATGAAACAGCTCAACATTTTAAACACAAGTCAATATATGGTATTACAGATAAGCAGATCAGTCATAACTCATAAGTTAGTTTCAGAAAAAGAGAGCTTGTTAGCTGATGAAATTGTTCTATCTGATGGTTCCTCACAATCATCATTATCATTACCCCAATGCCGCAAAGGCTCCCACCTACGGTAGGGTAAGGGGGGGTCGGATGTACGCAGTCTTACCCCTATACTAAAGCACAGAGAGACTGTTTCCGGATGACCCATGGAACCTATCTGATGGTTCCTCACAAGTACTTACAAAAGAAAAATTGCTTAAGACCAATATAGATGACGAGGTAATAAGAGATTGTGAGGGCTTTGTGACGATGACAGGGACACGGCTACTCTTAATAAGAAGGATAGATGTTTTGGTCAAGTCTATTCTAGAAGAAGTAAATAGACTAGTTGGTTATTAGTTGTTCTGTTAATTGCTAGTAACCACTTCCGGTTGAGCTTGAAGGCTATAAATAGAATAAGTTGGGAAAGGTCAAGCAGGCTGTTAGACTATTGGCTTGGGACTGGGAGAAATGGAGATTAGTTGTCTCTTTTCTTGGAGCTCTCTGTACACTTTTCACCATTAATGAAAGCTTGAGATTGTTTCTTGTATATTACTTTCATCTTTCTGTGTTAGTATATACCTGTGTGACTTCTATCAGTGGTATCAGAGCACGTCGATCACTGTGGATGGTCTGTACTCGTGCGAAAATGGATATGTGAATGAATGATGTTGAAAGAACGGTGAAGAGGCTGGATGAAAACTTTATGGCGATGTTCAGAGACACTCTCTAAATTGTCTCGTTATCAATTTCTACTGTTCATCTTCGATTTCTTCTGCGTTCTACTGGAATCTCCCAGGAGGATTCGGGATACTTATCTGAATTCAGAGTTAATATACACATATTTCTTCTAATCTGCTCTGAAATCACTGGTTCCTAACATTAACCCTCGACTGCAGCTTCTTTGCCAAAGGACCAAAGACGCATCGAAGCCAATAACCCTACTGTGCTCGCTTGCACATAAGACTGATTTCAAGTATATACGTCAATTGAGCCCCAAATAGTGAACTTCCATAACCTTAATGGAATTGAAACCTTACATCGAAGTCTTCTATCTATACATCTAATATCAGCGTAAAGAGAATCAGAAGGGATAAGAAAAGCGACTTACGTGTCCAAAAACTGAAGATATCCATAGCCAAATGGGACAATTGATTGATTCAAAGCTTCAGAAACATTACTTGGGAGCTGAAAATCCTCAACATCTCTATGCTTCCAGGCTGTAAACCATCGAAGTTCCCTATAGTTGCCATCATTTGCTAGCCATATTTTGGGCCGAATCATTAATATTTTCCTGTTAAGACACAATATTTGACAATTGTAGCGCTCTGATCCTTTGACAACTGGCATTCCAAAACTGCACAATAAGTTATCTGTCCAATCACCTAGCAGCAATTCTTTTAAGCAATCCCACCTGCAAATTCAGAGTGAAAAACATAACATACTATGCATATTACTTGGCTTTAGATAACATCAAAGAAGCTTACGCATTAGAGATGGTTTCAAGCTCAAAGAAGTGATCCTCGCATCCATATCCAGTGATTTCAAGCTCGGGGCCGAGCCTGATCATAGCTCCTGCCACTTTAGCCCTAGAAATGGAATCCTTTATGTTCTTCATATTGCAATCAAAATCCATGGCCCATTGGTTCAGGTTACACGTAGCCACTTTCAGTAACCTCATTTTCTTCTTATCTTCAGTTTAAATAGAACAACAATAATTTAAGTTTCTGAATACAAACTAAGCTTATCAAACCAGAACCACATGTGTATGCACACAAAAATGGACCTTTAGCTTCAGATATGTACTCAAAGGCAGGGCCAGAAAGTTCAGTTGATGCGGACGTTGTCTTTGGGATTACGGCCCCCCTATTTATGCACCGCGCTAAAACTACAAATTAGTGCATAAATTGATGATTACTTATATATATCAATAAGATCACTATAAAGGTAACTTTTAATATTTACTTTTTGAATACTATGCTAACCGTTCATAAGATTATACATACCCACACTTGCATTTTCAAGGTTTTATACATCAAAAGTGAATTATTATAAAATCATGATTAATAGTACCAATAAATCTTGATCTACATATGCTACTAAAAAATCATTCAACAACTGGTCACAAATTAAATATCATTTCGCATTTAGTTCATAACAAACTTCCTAGCTTACATGTTCAACATTGGCTGTTGCTACCACTGGATATAATGCTAACTGTATATTAAGAACATTTTAACATTACTTAATTACCGACTCAAAAAAACAATCATTCAATATGCAAATCAAGAATCAAAATTAGGGATGAAAACAGACTAGGAAAATAATTCGTAAGAAAAATAAAAAGAATTTTCAATGAACAAATGGAACAATAATTGGAATAATCAATCCTTAATAGAACAATAATTTAGAAATTAAAATCAAATAACTTATCACTCACAAATTGAAAAACTGGTGACAAAAAGTCCAGATTAGATCTGGACTGAAACCACACGATCCAGAAAAGTCTAAAATTCACGAGCTTCCCATCATTGCAACATCTGTCAAAACAAAATGTCGTTTTTTCTTTTAAAAAAGATGCATCATTCCACCATGGTTTAGTTGGGCAGAGCATAAAATTTACACCTAATAAAACTATGGCTTGTCTCATTTTTCTGGGTTGTCTCTCACTTAGGGGCGGATCTAGCATTAATTGAGCATGGGCCAAAAAACTAATGCACATAAAACAACTGTAATTAAAAAAAAGGTAAAATATAAAACGAAATATTACGAATATTTACAAGAATAGAAGTTTTCACCAGAGTCAAATAAAAACAGAACATCACAAATTTAACTTTACAACAGAACACCACATCATATGATAAATTAGATAATACTAACAAAGTAACAAGATCCTCACAAGTAAAAGTCATATTAAAAACAATGGGGTTAATATTTAAATACTATTTTCAAACTTAGTTAAACAACCAACGAATTTTAAACATATACAAGTGCAGTTCATGATGTCTAATTGTTTGATCTTACCGAGTTACCGACCACATTGTTGGGATAATGAAATATTGTATATTTGAGGTTATCCGATTTCATGGTGAAGTAAAAGAAATCTGAGAATATGTTTAGCAAACATAAATGATGTTAATAGCCCTGTTAACAAAAAAAAACTTTCAACGTTATTTATAAAAAGCTATCAAGTTGTGCCTTTACAATACAAGTTCAAAAGAGTGCACGGTTACGGTAATTGCAGGAGTATTTCAGTAACTATCTTTAGTTCTTTACACATCAAAGAGAAACTTAAGCTTTTGTTCTAAGCTCAAACCCAATATAATCTGTTAACACATTGACCTAAACCGAATTTATCACTTCTTCTCATCGGAAGTTGGTTAAAATAAATGAACAGCTGAACAAGTGCTTTTTTACAATAAGACACTGCATTTAAAAATTAGATTAGATTCAAGATTATAAAATGAAGACATAAGACTGAATTGAAAATTAAAAAAAAAACAAGATAAAGACTGAAGTCAGAATGATCAAATAATGAAGGGTGTGCATATTTTTTAAATTTCTTTTGTTCCTAAAATTCACTAATTGAAATTTCAGTAAACTACAATTTGTTAATTGAGCAAAAGATGGTCAACTAGTAATTTAATCTGATTTTTTTCTGAAACACGTTTCATAAAAGTTCACTAATTGAATATGAAATCTTTTCTATTTTGAACGAAATCTGGAATTTAACTTTATTTTTGTTTACCTAGGTGAGTAATGAGGTAAACAGGATGCGTCCCAGGCTTACCGTTGAAGAAGACTGGTCGTTGCGGCGTTGCCTCGTCGGTCCTGCTGAACTGCTGAAGAAGATGAGATTTTGCTGCTGTTTGAAGTTTGAGACCTAAAAAGTTCAAAATTTTGGAGTTGCCGAACAAAACTTACTGAATTGAAGATTGAGACCCAGCAATTGTCAGATGCGGGAAGGGGCAAACGGCGTGCCGGAGGTGCGCGCCGCAGAGACTATGCCCTTGACGGCGATGGGCGGACAAGCGGTTAATTCTGTTATTTAAATATACGGGCGGTTATCTCTGTAAAAGAGAAGATTCTTGTTGATGAACTCTTATAATATACGGAGTAGTCGAGAACAGCTCTAAAACTCCCCTACCCATTTTGATTTACAAAATTTCCTCTATTTTGGTTGTCTCAAATTGATTTTCCACTTTCTATTTTAGGTATGTAAATAAGAATAAAGTGACAAATTTACCTATACTTTTATTTTTTCCTCATATACTTAAAGGCATCTACTTGTAGAAAGATAGACAAAAGTGTAAAAAACAAGCATCATTTATTGTCATTCTTTAATCCTTGTGCCGGTCAAAGTTTGCAATTCAATTCGGAACGGAAGGAGTAGTATTTAGCTTTGAAAAATTTTAAAGGTACACACTTTTTTGTGTACACACTTTTTACACATGTCTGTGTGAGGTTTTCTTTTTGTCTGTACAGACACAACGTATTTGAAAAAATACGTTTTGTCTGTACAGACATAAAAAAAACTTACACAGACATGTGTAAAAAGTGTGTACACAAAAAGTGTGTACCCCAAGCAAATTCCTTTAGCTTTACACAACACAAGTGTTTACAGTGCTTAATACTCTATTGTAAAAAGGGGCTATTTGTTGTAGCCTCGAGATAATTGAGCGGGATGACGTTTTGTCATCTCATTCATAGAATCATCCTTTCACCATATTAGGATGAGATCATACATTAAATGTTCTTTTCGTCAAATCCCACCAACTGCGACATGTGTGTTAGTACGCGCCAATGATCATACTTGTGCAAGTACCAATGGCATTTGTTGTGGGCGGAGGCTCGACGGTAGTTTAGGCGGACTAGTGAAAAGGGTTGTTGGGTTTTACCTTTGGTCGATCCTGCTTGTCATGGATAAGGCACACTTGTCAGATTATTCCCTAGTCAGCTATATAGTCTCCTGCTCGGCCTTCATATTTGTCTCGTTTGACGGGATGATGACACTCGGGCCTAGCCCTTTGTGCCCATGGCTAATTTAGCAAAGGTCGATTATGAGGTTTTTGGTTCGGCCTGTTGTGTTGCGGATTTGCAGCCCAATACCTCAAGTCCCCCACTTGATGTTTTGAGCTTGTAAGAGGCATAAGAAGTAAATGTATGGCCCATATGATAATCCTGCTCGTTGTGGTGAATGACATCGGATCGTCGCAGGTGGGTGACAATGGTAATGTGTGGTAAGATGTGGGTGTTTTTGCCCTTGGTCAACTCGTGTCTCATGTGCACCTCTGCACACGTGGTGCGTTCTAATTGGTCCCGATTGCGGTCACTACTACTATATAAATCCCTCTCCGGGTCCTTTTCGTCCTTCGCTTTTTTCGAACTTTTATTGAGTTTATCTCTCTACATTGTGTTTCTCTCCTTCGAACAAATTTTCGTCATTTCATTCAACTTCTGGCACTTCTTCTTTCCATGTATACTTGGTTCATTTCTCTCGTATCTCTCCTTCCATATTAATCTGTATTTCTACCTTAGGGGCTCCCACTGATCAACGAAAAACAACTCCCCATCAACGATGTCCCACACGGATTCCCGATGTCAAAGGGACAAACAACCTAACATTGATGTCATTAGTGCCACGGGCTCAAGCCCCGACAACTCCGCCGTTGACTGTTACCTCGGACGGGACATGGGAAAGGATTCTGGTAGGGGAATTGGTAAAGACAGTGCGACCAGCTCCCGTCCAACCCAGGAGGATGTGGAGGATGAGGAGGAGGAGGCCTCCGTCTCGGGCGATATGGATGCGAGCTCAAGATATTCCTATAGTCGGGATCTGGATGACTATAAATCTGGATTAAACTAAAGTGCTAACGGAAGGGGTCGTTCGAACACATATCGGACAAGGACATTATAAAACACATTAGTCATCGTGGCACCAAGGCATATTGTTGGCATGTTGCTCACTTCTGAGTGTGGTGGAACTAGTTGCACGATGGACCAATAATACCCTTGTAGTATCACTTCTCGGACAAGCGTCTTGGGGCTTTGTGGCTTGAGCACAGATGCGGCTAAGGATGAGGCAAGCATTTGAGATAAGATTTCCAAACGTTTTCTTATAGAGTTGTCTATCTTTGAGTTCAATGTTCGGCGTCCTTCATTTAAGTAGTTTTGCCCTGATTTTGTATAATGGGAGTACCTCGTTTTGGATGCACTCGATCAGACCCGACACCCAATTGGCTTCATTAAGAATGGTTTACCTTGTAGTCTATAGTCTCTTTTAACTTTCTAAGAATAGTTGTGAATATGTGACGTTCATTAATCTTCTTTGGCTTAGAAATGTTTTTTTTTTTTACAAAACACTAAATTTCATTTTGTGTTCTAAATCACGCAATAACCAAGTAAGAGACAATGTCACTTTTTTATTTAATTTGCAGAAGAGGAAACTTTTGGTTTTTTATCTTATGTGATATTTCATTTATAGTATTAATAAAATATATTTTGAATAATATTTTTTGTAGCTTATCAGATTCAGCGAGTTAGCCATTTTAACCATAACTTCAGTAACTTTAAAAGAACAATTAATTTATTCAATTTCAAAATGAAACATTCGCATACCATTGCAAACATCAAAACAAATTTTTGTGTACTTTCTCACAAGGTGCATGGCCAAACATCAAACCAATTGAGTCAAGATGATTTTTAGAGAAAAAAAAACATATTAAAATTAGATTAAACTAAATTTATTTAAATTTGATTCTTTCGAGAGCTTAAAATTAAACTAATTCCTCGAGAGTCATCATAATTGATCGAGAAATAGACAAAATTTGAACTTTATTCACAAATTGATAAATAGAAAACAGGGCGGCCCTGAGGGGCATGGGGGGCGGGTGTCCTAGCCTAAAAAAATGAAAACCAAAATAGGACCAAGTTTAGTTCATTATAACAGATGAGTAAGTTGTTTTTCAGATCTAAATTAACAATTTTTCGGGTAAACTTAGTTGAGTGCTTCCGGGTTGGGTTTTTTATGAACATTTATGAGAATGTTCTATATAACATGTAGATTATGTCCACAAAATTTCAGTTTAAAGTTCAATATAGAAGTCAGTTAAATAAATTATTGAAAAACATTACATTTTTTGTGCATATTTTGGTGAAGTGTTTTCGATAATCTACTTTACTGAATTCCCGATTGAACTTTAAGTTCAAATTTTAATTTGTGAACATAACCTACTCTTGATGAAAAACATACTCACAAAATATCATTAAAAATATCCACATGAAAGCAGATTTCTTAATTGTTGATTGTTATCTATTGAACTTTGGTGTTATAATTTGTTGATTTTGTTATAAAAAATTTTCAATTATAATTAAATATGTAAATTTATGTAATTTTAAGGTGTAATAAAAATGATTGAATCCGGATAGTAAATATAAAATGAGGACAATATTAAAGAAAATGGCGCTGAGTAAAAAAATTTAATGGAAAATTTTGTTTGTGTAAAGAAGTCAAATTATGAATGTCCTTCTCAAGATGAGAATTCGGAAAAGAAGCATGGTCTAGCTACGGAAAATGAAACGATTCAGAATGATCACTCATTAAAGGGAGAAATTTGGGAGTTGATAATAATAGAGTTAATTTCTTAAATATGACTAAAACATTGGTAAAGTGCACAAATAGTAACACCATTTTTTCTTCCTAAATAAGGATCACCAATAATATAATATTGTTGTTTTAGACAGAAGAAAGATTTACAAGTCTTTATAAATGTCATGAGATATTATTACTAGTATTTTGCATGTTAGTTGAGACAGAAAAAAGGTTTGCAGTTTTTTTAAAATTAGGCTCATTAAAATTCTCTGTCCTTAGGCCTTCAAACATATAGGACCAGCCCTAATAGAAAATAAAGTATTTTTCAAAGACTTGAGATGTTTTTAACTGGACTGGAATTTTGCAGTCTGATTTGTTTAAATTTAATTTATTCAATTTAATTATAGTTTAATTTGAACTGATTTGATCTGATGTGATATGATAATCTATAAGAATTTTACCATTGTTGAAACATGATTTGATTTGTTTAACGAAATAATTACATATTTATGACTAAAGATTGTTTACAAAAATGTGACTAGTGATTAGAGTAGTAATGAAATAATAGTAACTTATGTTCAAGTTTTAAACTAAGTTATCATAACACTAGATTGTAGTAACTATTAGTCATATTTGTGTAAATAAGTTTCATTTCGATAATATTTTTGGAAAAATCAGTTACTTACAGAGAAAATTGTGCAAAGTAAGACCATTTCATAGTTGTTTTACAAAAATAGGGCCTTGTTAGTTAATTTACTTTCGTACATCTATATTAGTTCTATTTTAAGAAACTTCATTCTGAATTACCTAGATTACCCCTGAGTGCCTATTACTGACCTAACTTCCGTCTCCATTCACGATATAATCTAACATATACGAACTGCGCGCCAATTTCGACGATATGTCCTCTTCTCCATCTACATTTGATTTGCATCGATAATTCAAATTCTATCGGCAACAATTCCTTCATAATTTTTGTTTGCCGAATTGTGGATTACCCCTGAGAACTCTTTGAAATCGTTCTGCAAGAATATCATTCTATCCTCCGGCTACAACACCGAATTGTGGATTGCTTCTTCAGCAATTTGTTGTTGTAAGTTTCTATTTGTTGTTAGTTTCCTTTACATTTTTACTTTTTGTAGTCCTCTGTATCTTCTTAATTGTTTATGACCTTCTTAGTTGACATATTATTGAAAGTTTATGAGATATCTCTCTCTAATTTGTGAGGAGAACTCATTCGTCATGTTCCTTCATTATTGCATAGTGGACTTTGAACTCTTACTGCACCAATAACCTCCATCCTCTAAATTAAGTTAGCTCAATTTGTGAATTATTTGTTTGGCAATAATTCAGTTAAAGTTTTCCATGTGTATTATTCTTAGTTGTTTATGAAAATTTTAGCTGACATATTGTTCCAAATTAATGAGATTATATATATAATTTATAAGTAGAACTTTAGATTATGAGATAATTACTTCCTTTAAGGAATTATAATGTCTTGAATTGATTACTCTATTCTGAAGAGACTATGA